GCTAAGGTTTCACTGGTAAACACCAACTCCAAGAAAGCCAAGACTTTCTGGTGACGTGACCTTTCTGGCTGAGAAACACCTTACTCAAGAAGGATGTACGTTTTATCTATTCCACTTCCATTTGTATTCAAATAACGCCTCCTGATATGTAGCACATTATTTCTATCCATCCTCTGGCAACGTTCACATTTATGCACCACAAGACTCAATGGTTTCTTTTCCCCAAATGCACAGGGATTTTCAGTGAAACCATCCCTCAGATGGTTATCAGGCATTCTGCAACAAAGAGATCCATTATGGCAGGTGAGCATCCCTGAAAGACATTCTAGGACTTCCTTCCAGAGCATTAACGTAAGGAGATAAGAAGAGCCTTGCTGGATCAAGCCAGTGGTCCATCTAGTCTAGCATCTTGTTCTCACAGTGGCCAACCAGATGCCTATGGGAAGCCCACAAGCACAACCTGAACACAACACTCTCACCTCCTGTGGTTCCCCAACAACTACTATTCAGAAGCATAGTAGGCCAGACTTTCAGGTAACATGGGGCAGCAATGAGGCCCCCAAATAGCCAGACCACATCAGCTTTGAGGTACCATCAGCAAAGTGTCCTCTGGTGCAGCAACAGTGCTCTGACAGAGGAAACATTCTATATATCCCACAGTGCCCCCAAAATACTAAGCATCTCTCTGGGGATTGTGTGAAATTAAAATGATAGTTCCCAGAACCCCAGAGGGAGCAGCCATTTTAATTTCCCACAATGCCCTGGGCTGCTTTTACATGCTGAGAGCTGCTCAGGGGTGCTGTTTGCCGACACCAGGCCTGCCCTCATAAGTATGCAAGAAGATGATTTCCTCTAGAAGAAGATCCAAAATCCTCTGCAACATGCTGGAGTTCTACAGCAGGCAGGCTGATGTGAAGAGGGGGGAAAGAGGTTCCTTGAAGGCAAAAGTCTGAAAACCTCCATCAATTCCATAGGGCTTTCGAGTATGAATGGCAAACAAGAGCTAAAGATTTGGCTTGGAAGTGAAGAACCCAACTACAAATCCTTGCTCTACTGTGAAGCTTGCTGGATAGCCATGAGCGAGACACTCAAAGGCTGGCTGTGGTCCCCAGAAGAAAGGCAGGGCACAAACTTCAAATGTTAACACATTGAGTTAACATGCAAGCGCTTGCCAAGGTACCATCGCAATGCAACTATCTTTGCAATGAGAAACACATAACTCTGGATTTGTCAGCTACCATGAACTGGAACATAGGGAGGTGCCTTACACCAGCTCACACTGTTCTCCATCTAGCCCAGTATTGGCAACTCTGACTGGCAGTGACGTTCCAGGGTCTCAGACAGAGGTCTTTCCCAACAACCTGCTGGCTGGTTCTCAGAACTGAAGATGCCACGGACTGAGCCAGGAGCAAATGGCACCACCTTTCCTGGTACAGTTGCTGCCTTTAGTTTCCAAGCTCTCCACAAGCTAGCAAATTCTTTTCCAAAGAGTGGCTCTCTTTTGCAAAGGAGTAGTGGAGCTACTAGTGATGATGACTCTACTTCTTCTGGAATCAGAGGTAGCCTGCCTCTGAATACCAGTTACCAACAGGGGTGCACTTAGAGGTCAGCCAGGTTGGCCACCACCGAGGGTGCAGGCCCAGGAACTGCAAAAATTGCACCTCTCTGCACTGATGCATCTCCTTGCCAAGGGTGTAAGGAAGCCTAGGTACATCTCTGACTACCAAAGAAGAGAGCAGGAGAGAGAACTATTGCCTACCTATCCTGTCTGGGCTTCTCCTAGGCACCTGGTTGGCCATTGTGGTAAACAGAGATACTGAGCCAGATTAGCCTTTGCTGTGATCTAGCAGGTTCTTATGTTCTTATAAAATAGCCTCATTTAATTTCCATAGTAAATCTACCCTGGCGTAGCCCATAGAAGGTTCTGACAGGTCTCAGCATGCAACTCTGCAACTCTTTGGTGGTTTTATTATAGTTGCCACCACCAAGTTCTGTCTGTTTTTATTATTTATTCACCTGTATCTTAAGAACTCCTTCTCCATTTTAATCAATACTGTAAGAGGTGATTGTTGCTCTTGTTTTACAGTAGGGGATCAGAAGCTGAGAGAGGGCAATATCTTCTGTTTCCCAACACGACAATGGCAGAACTGATGATTGAATCCAGATCTTCTAGACCCCTAACATTCGCTCCAGCAGACAGTGACTCTAAATTTGCTAAATACATTCTGATGCAGCCAACTCTGATGCACCTATTAATTTTTCCCCAGGCTACTTTCACTCATGCTGCAATCTTATATGAAAGCAAATCCTGAAGGGGTGACTTACTTCCAAAGAAACATGTTTGGAATTGAGATGAATGTAGCACAGCTATTAATTGAAAAGTTGTTTTAATGAATGTTCAAATGTTGGTGAATATTAGCATTCACATGTGTATGCTGACAATCCCACATTAACTTTGTGAATTCCTCAAAATAAATGTATGTATTTACACTACTTGTCAGACAGACACAAGTGGTTGCTGGCATTCATATCCAGGCGACAGTCAACATTCACCAGCAAATCCCAAAATGTTTTGACTTTGGGGGGGGGGATATTTGTCTGGGATCATCAACATTTACATGCCAATGTTCACCCAGTTTCAGACATTCTGTTTAGAAAGCCAATCATATTTTTAGTGAACTGGCACAAAACTATGTTGTCCTTAATTGGATCCACCAATTTTTTGTTAACAAGCTCATGTTATTTAGCTTCAAGTAAAACAACAGAAGACAGAGTTCTGGAAGAAGGACTATCTCTCAGTGGTAGAGCATCTCCTTTGCATGCAGAAGGTCTCAGGTCCAACCCCCAGTATTTCCAAGTACCGCTAAGAAGGATTTGTGCATGAAATTGTGGCTAGCCACTGCTAGTCAATGTAGACAAGACTGAGCAAGATGGACCCAGTATAAGGCTTGCTATGTTCCCCCCCCCAAAAAAAAAACCACACCTATACATCAACAGGACACTCTTATTGGACCCCTTCCTTTGACTTTCAGTCCTATGAGATTTCCCATGTTTCTGGTGCTGCTGCTCTTAAGCAAGCCAAGACAATGGGGATCGCTGCAGCCTGCTCTTTCTTCCTTCTCTCAGTTCCTTTCGTATCTCCATCGCAACCTCTATCTCCTGCAGCTTCATCACCTGGCCTTCCTGCTATATGAACTGCTAGTGGGAAGCATAGAGAGATGGGGGGGGCTCCATTTAAATAATGCATGCTCCATGCAAATGAAGCTTTGCTTGAAAATGCTAGCCGTGCTGTTGAGCTGCACTTTTCCTGGACTCACCAGGAGGGGCCGTTCATTGGAGACCTCGACAGTACGAGTGCTGGAATACGGTGCCGCGGTGGGAGCATAATGCTCGGGCAAACAGGGCATCCCAACTCCCATCCACTCCTTTTGTCTTCTGGTGCATATCAAAGTATTTCGCTAACGTAACCCATTGCAGTTGGGGCTCACCATATCTGGAGCAACGGCTTCTCAGCCCTGCACAGTTATAAACAGATATACATGCCTTCACACACAAAAATCATAGCATGCACTACCATGTCTGTCTCTGATCAAATCCTACCTGCCTAATTAAAAATCTATTGGGTGGAAGAACTGCATTCTCATTCTTCATATAGGAGCCTACAAATGTGACTCTATTAAAGGATTCCCTTTAACATACACCTGTGCAAATCTACATACCTAGTAGGCACCATTCCTTAACTACCGGAATATTTGACATGCATCCATCTGCCCTGCATATATGCCAAAATCAGCACTTTCACATACATGTATGAAAGCATGCATGGGCATGGGCACACAGAAGTGTACACACAGCAGGTCCTGAGCATATCGGTGGCTGCCGTCTTTTTGATTTATGCTGCTCTCTGGCTCGAAGACTAAGCCTCTGTCTTACTAACTAGCAGCAGTAAGCTTTGCTCTGTACACCCCAGGGTGAGGGTGTGATTCAACTGTCCACCTGCTTCTCCTGATCTAGTTCTTTTTGGGGTTCCCATGCCCCCAAGCAGGACGCTGCTTCAGTATGAAATACACAGAGCCACCTGTTTCCACCGAACGGAAAGAGAAGACACACAAACAGCACACATGCACGGACAGCCCACTCGCAAGCTGAACATGCGTGCAAGTCTCCCGTGCAATGCCCACACAAAGGTTCTCCTCCTTTGCAAATGGACAAATCTTATTCAGCCTACACAGATGCATCAGCCCTAATCTCTTCGATGCAAGGCACACAAGCACAGAGAAAGAGGGAGGGGGAGAGGTTCTTCTGCACCCAGCCAAGCCAATCCACCAGCCCTTTTCCCACAAGCAGGAACAGACTCGCTTCCACCTACATCCCCCAAAACTCAAAGCCCACGCACCTCCCTGCCAGTCTCTGCAAAGAGCCCCTGCCAAAAGTTTACTATGATGACAGAGAAGCGGAGGGAGAAGGATGCAGGGATGGGATTCTCCTCCTGTTGCCTCCGCCTGGCCGATGCCGCCGCCACCACCACCATGGTTGCAAATGAAAAAATTGAAACCTACCCCTCCCTCCTGCTGCTAATGCTCTTGCAGGGGCCGGAATAAGATATCCAGCCAAGCACAGCTGCACACAGCAGGCTTAAGATCTATTCAGAACTCGAAGCTGGGGAAATGGAGCGGGGGGGGGGTGGAGGAGAGAGAAACATCCAAGGCAAATCCATCATTCACATCGGTATTTTTTCTCCCAACCCCTGATCTTCCTTCACCTGTAGTCCCCCCACCCCATCCATCCGCACTCCTACACATGCACCTCACCTCATTTCCCTTCTCCAGTTTAAGCCCTAAAGAATGGAGAGAAGGCAGGGAAAGAGGGAGGGGGGAGTTAGCTGGGGGGGTGCTTTATTAAAATGCAACACAAAAGCAGCCAGCTAGAATGGAGACCCCGCACACCCCGCATCATTGTGGCTGCCGCTTGGAGAGGGGTGGCCCCCAAAACGCACATACCTGCTCCTTTGCAAGCGATGCTGCTCCAAGTTCAGGGTTTGCATCCCAACGAGAGATCGAGCAGGAGGAGGAGGAGGAGGAGGAGGAGCAGGCAGCTGAGGACCACTCTTCATTCAAATTCCCAGCGATTGCTGATGGGAGGGCTGGAACTGAACGAGAAAGAGAAAGAGAGAAGGAGGGAGAGGGGTGCTCTGGCTGTGTGTGTGTGTGTGTGTGTGTGCGCGCGCGCGCGCGCGCGCAGGGTGCGTGCGTGTGGGGGGGGGGAGGGAGGAAGGGAAGGCGCGTGCCTGGCCCGCACGCCCCTCCTCGGAAGCAGTTCCCGGCTCCGACCACCCTCTCCCCGCCAAAACCCACCCCACCAAGAGACGCCGGGAACCGGGAGCCGAGCGCAGCCGGGCAAGGCAGAGCCAGGCGGAGGCTGCCGGGCTTCGCGGCCGTCGCTACCGCAGCCGCATCACTAAGGAGGAGGAAAGGGCAGGCCATAGGATTGCAACGCCAAGGGATTAATTCCGGCCCCAGCCTCGGTCGTTGTCTTTTCTGTTTCCTTTTTTTTTTCTGGCCAAGGGGGCTTCGGAGCCGGAACAGAGTCCGGCGAGGGGCTGGTGCTCCCCCCAGGAGCTTCCCCTCCACCACCAACCCTCCAGTTGTGGCAGGTGGGCCCCGGGCAGCGCGCAGTCTCTGCCCCCACCCCATCCATGTGCTGGAGGGTCAGACAAGCCCCCCTCCCCCGTTCACGTGGACACATCTGATGGGCTGACCCCACCCCGCCAGCAACAGCTGTTGGGAACAGCCTTCCGGGATGCAAGCGCAACAGCTGGTCGCTGTGGCCAGGAGGCACCCGCGCCACGAGTGGCAGGCCTCCTGGAAGATCCAGGGCTCCGTGCACAGGTTCAAGCCCCACCTTGGGCAAAGGATTCCAGCATTGCAGGGGGTTGGACTAGATGACCCTTGGGACCCTTTCAAGCCTACAATTCTAGGGTTCGGATTCCAAGTCTAGTACAGGCCATGCAAACCGCAGCTGCTGGGAAAGCTCTCTGCTATGCGCAAGCTCCTCGCATATGCGAAGGTAACCGTTGCTGGGCAGGTACCCTCTTCCCTCCCATTAAAGAACAGCTGGGGAAAGAGGGCGAGGAGGGTGTGCGGGAGAGATGTGGTGGTTTCCCAGCTGTTCTGGCGGCAGCTGGAAAACTACCCCCATCCCTCCTGTGCAAACACGTGACACGGCCACCTACACACACACGCAGCAGCAGCAGCAGCAACAGCTGTCTTTCTCCTGCACAAATGCAACAGCTGAGTGTGACCAGGCAATGGTGAATCGAAGGGCCGAGCTGCAACAGCAGCTGGAAAACGACCCATAGCTGGCTCCCTGCTTCTGCAGGCATGAAACAGCTGTTCAGCATCCTTCACCCCAGATGCTGGACGGGTACCGTCCTCACCCACACACAGCAATCAGTTACTTCCCCATCTCTCCTATGTGCATGAAACAGCTGCTGGCAAACACCTGCACCCTCATCCTTCACACACGCAAGAGGATCCATACCTTGCCTGTACACATAGAGGTACACAGCAGCTCCTTGAAAGCGCCTCTCGCATGCAAATAGACAAAAGCATTTTGGTGAGCAGGGGGAGCTAGTCTTTGAGTATCACAGAAATCTACCACCAGCAGAAGCATGCCTAAACCACCTACATTTTAAACACATGAGCAACAGGGGCTGGGGAATATATTTCATATATGCATATGCAGCAGCTGGGAGCCCACTATTAGCATCCCTCTCACACCCAGTGGCAGCCAGAGTCCCATATCCCATATCCCTTTCTACCCCTGCTGCTGACTAGGAAGCATCCTAGACATAAGTAGGCAGGCCACTGGTACCCGTACTTTTGCACACTCAGAAACAGCGGAGGCTGGTCTACTGGGGAACAACCTTTCAACTGAAATTAGCAAACATTGTCTTTGTTTATTAAAAAAAACAACCTCCTCTTCAAAATCTCAGAGCCACACACACTTTCCTGTCCCACACACGTTTTATACTTCCTTGAATTTACAGAGTCATTTCTGTCTATCTCCCGTTCTCTGGCCAATCAGCTCTCTGCACCACTCAGCCAATCCTAATCCAAAAGTATAGGTATGGCAAGGAGGTATGGCATGTGTCTCTAAGCAGAAAAACCACATGACTGATTGGGCTGCCGGAAAGTCAGCCCTGGCTGGAAAGTTCTTGCTCCATCTGTTGTTATGAGACCTGTCCGGCACAGCCACTTATAACAGATATAAGAGGGGTGAAGATTGCTTTAACAACAGCTCTGTCAGAATCACACATTCATTCTAAGCATGGTCAGAGTTGTTTCCCAGAAGTCCAGAGAAGCAACATGAATTATTCCTTACTTTGTGGAGCCTATTTTGTTTGTTTAGTTTACTATTTGTTTTGTGACCTTGCTGAGTGAGTCTCTTTCCATAATAAATACCTATTTTTTACTTCATCATTTTACACTACTTCTTTTTTAACTAGGAGAATAGTGGGTGGCTTGTGTATGTGTTGCAACAAACTCTGTATTGACCATTTCTCTATATTCACTTATTAAAAGCTGCAGCAGCCGCTTGATGAAGGAAGGCAGGTAAAGTAAATCTGTGCCATATGCAATTCCAGTTTTTCTGGGAAAGGTGTGCTACTCTGCTTCCAGTGAGCTCTTCACGTAGCAGGGCATATATCTTGAATGTGCAAGAGTGGAGGAAAATGCTGTCACTATTATTTCCCACCTCGCTCTTTTGTGAGTTTGCCACAAAATAAAAAGTTTGGGCTCTATACTTGGCTGGGTATGACTCCAAATTCTTTCCCAAACTTAAAAAATATTCTCCCAGATCTCAGACAATACAGAGGTTGGTTATGATTAGTCTAGTGTGATGCTGAACTCTGCACATAAGCATAGATTATTACTTCACATTTTCAGAACTGAGCTATGCATTGCAAATATGTTATACCCAATAATTGGGAGATTGTCTATTGGTTTGAATACTTAGTTATTTTAGAGAAAAAATGGTGTTTTGAATGATGACTAAATTGACCATTGTGGGGAGGAAAACTGCATGCAACTAGAAGCAAGCTTTCCTCACATAAAAAAAGTGTGTGTTTTGTTTTTTTGTAACAGATGTGTAGGTGTAAACAATACATGAATTCAAAAACCTGTGTCATGCTGTATAGCTTAATTTCTAAATAAGAGGTATGGAGTCAAATCTTATTTAAAAAAACAAACATGTTTGGACCCTCATACATGGAAACTCTTTCTCTATCCATAAATGTGCAGAGAATAATTGGGGGTGGGCAGAGCAGAGGAGACAATGGCACATGTATGTGTACTGACACATTCTTCTAAATAAGTGCTGTACAAGTCCTACTCAGATAAAAACAGCAAGGTTAAAAATTGCAGCCCAGCCCATTCAAAATGTTGCTAGCTGTCACTGCACATAAAACATACACAAACAGTTTCTAGGAAACATCTTTTGTGTGCACATAAGCAATAGCTGACTGCAGCACCTTTGCAAAGACAGGTAACTTTAGACCTCTGACATACAATTGGAGCACCAGAAGCTACACACAATACAGAGATACTCCTACATTCATTGCAAAGCAGCATCTGTCTCATACTTATAACCGTAAGCAGTTTCGCAGCACCCTTCAAACCTCAAACACAAAAGCTGCTGGAGAATTAGCAACAAACTTCCCACATTTACAGCTAGTCACATAAGAAACACAATGTCTCGTACGTCACCTTTCGCCCCCGATAGATATATATTAAAGTTACAGAGCGAAACAGGAACAAATTCAACAGGTGCAGTTTCTTTCCTGGCATAAAGGGTGCAGTCATGCAAAAAGTTGCACCTGTTGAATTTCTGCTACTGTAAAGCTATTAAAGGCAGAGGGACTTTGCTTGGGGGCAGGGAGGTAGGTGTAGCAATCCTAATCTACATGCCTCTCTTTAACTCTGCCCTGACACATTCACACAGAATAGCTGTTAGAAATCTCTCTTAACTGTTTAGTTTTTCTTCTTTTTCCAAAGTTGTAAGTATATTGTTTATTTTTTGGTTGTTGCTTTTTCTTTTTGTTTTTTCTTTTCTTTTTTGATATGTCTGTGATTTTGGATGTATTATATGTATTTTATGCTGGAAATAAAGTTTTTGAGAAACTAAAAAAAAAAGAAAGAAAGAAATCTCTCTTAACTGTCATCAAAGCTTGCTGGGTAATGTAGTCCAAGAGTGTTGAGAATTGTCTGTTGGACAGCCATAGCTCCACCCGGTCTGAACTGCAGTTCCAAATGTTCCTTGAGATTATTAAACCACTTTTAGGAATGTAGGTAAGTCTACCCCCCAGCCACATGAGGCTGCTGCTTGAAAGCTACCCACTGTGTTTTCAAACACCCAACAGTTGCAAGGGGAATATCTGCATCACATACAATGTGGCACAGGTTGTAATAAATCAACACACGTGTGCAACAGTTGCAGCAGCAAAAGCAGCTGCTCTTATCTCTATGAAAGACCAACAAGGTCAAAAGCAGTCTAGCTTCTGCTCTCTTACACATACAGTACACTAACAAGATCTGCTGGAAAATGTGCATCTATTCAAAAACACTTGGGGGTGCCTATAATTACTCATATTGTACATAAAGTATACACGGTGGTAGCATATTCTCAGATGGGGTAGAGAAGCTTGGTTTATAACTCTTCTCATCCCTGACCATGGACCATTCTGGCTGCCGCTGATGGGAACTGGAGCCCAATAGCATCTAGCAGTGATGGCCAAACTTGGCCCTCCAGCTGTTTGGGGACTACAATTCCCATCATCCCTGACCATTGGTCCTGTTATCTAGGGATGATGGGAGTTGTAGTCCCAAAACAGCCGAAGGGCCACATTTGACCATCACTGATCTAGAGGGTCATAGGGGTCCCTCACACTTCTTCTAAGAAAACAATCCGCATCCATTACAAACCTATGAATATGCCCAACAGTTAGGCAGGCGGCTCTGTCCTTTTCACAGAAACATATTTTTTTTCCACTTGTAAATAAAAATATTGTGCCAAAGGGGAATGCTCTACCTATACCATATATATTCCTTTTTCTAGTTAACTCTTTTTCAAAACTTATGGTAATACACAGTTCTATATCATGACTGCCTATCTTTTTAAAAAAAATTCTTCTTCTTCTTCTTCTTCTTCTTCTTCTTCTTCTTCTTCTTCTTCTTCTTCTTCTTCTTCTTCTTCTTCTAACAACAGTTAAAATAACACATATGAGCAAACTGCCCTATAAAGAAAGGTGGCAACATTAGGGACTTTTTAATTTAGAGAAAAGTCAAGTAAGAGGCGACATGATAGAAATTTACAAAATTAGGAATGGTGTGGAGAAAGTGGATAGAGGAAGGTTGTTCTCCTGCTCTCATATCACCAGAACTCATGGAGATACAACGAAGCTGAATGTTGGGAGATTTGGGACTGATAAAAGAAAGTGCTTCTTCACACAGCACAGAGTTAAACTATGGAACTCACTTCCACAGGAGGCAGTCGTGGGCACCAACATGGATGGCTTTAAAATAATAGTAGACAAATTCATGGAGGAGAGGGCTATCAGTGGCTTTAAGCCATAATGGTTTTGCTCTGCCTTC